GAGTCACATGTCTTGGAGCACAAGCCCCAGTGGCTCCACGCACCCCACTTCCCGTCTGCTGCAGGAGAGGGAGGGAGAGAACCAGGGGAAGGGCACAAAGCAAGAGATGCACGGCGGATAAGAGATGCTTTTCAAAATATACTGATAAATTGTTAATGTCTCAGAAGCCATTAATGGTGTATTAATGACTGCTTTTGACTTTGTTCATTTTTAATGGTAAACTATTTATGAACACCACAGCCGGGAGTTGCAAAGCCTTTGCAAGATATTTGCACCACTCTTAACATTCCAAAAGAAGGAAAACACTGTTTATATATTTTTAAAAAATCACTTTTAATGACTTGATTTAATGAGTTTTAACAGTTGAAAGCACTGGGTTCATGTTCATTCCTCCTCAAAAACATTGAAACAATGCTTTATTCATAAGCCTGGGCACGACACAGCCTCATAGATGAAGAACTTTCACACAGCTCCTTCAACACATCAGGCATCCATGCACAAGCCCTTGGGGAAATCTGTGTGAAAACACTTGAATGAAATGCCAACAAAGGTTTCAACACTTTTTCTCTTTCATATTGTGTTTTAAGGAATCAACAACTGTACGACTGTTAATACTGCACCAAGAGAATGAGGCTCTGCAGACATGCTCCTCCGACCGGCCCACCTGACACGCCCAACCCTCAGAGCCCTCCGAGCTCCATGGCGCCGGACAGGACTGGAGGAACAGTGTGTCCCTCACTTACGTCACTGTAGGCTTGACTGATGAAAGACTGGCTGATCCTGACCTACTGTCTGAAACAGGTTGGGGATTCCCAGTTGCACTCGGACGACGACTTGGCCAAGAACACATCTCGGCAAACTCGGCACATCTAGCCCATTTCAGCTCATTGAACCGAGAGTCTCACCCAGCTCTTTCTTGACAGAAGCCCAGGTATCGGCTTCAAGAACATGGCTGGGTAGCTTGTTCCTCCTGTACCCAGCTTGAAATGCACTTACTGTACCTCTAGTTTCCACTTGTGTTCCCTGGTGTGTGTTTGAAGACATCTTCAGTAAATGCAATCGTTTTATAATTGACTGTACTGTTCTTTCACCGCGGACAGAGTATTTCTGTTCCATGTATTTTGTGCAGTAGAGAGATTATTTTAATTGAATGCCTTACTTTGCACAAAATTGGGGTCTTTAGTAGAAGCAAAGTAACCCATTAGAATAGACTGACTCTAAAGGCATGCCCAACTTGTAGTTAAATAAGAAGACACAGCTCTTGTCAATGGGTCTGCATTTACTATTTTGCCCAGGGTTCAGATACAGGCACAGATCCCGAAAAGCATCTGAAATGTGAAATGACAGGAAATTCTCACGGCCCTCTCCTTGTCATTGTGCAACGTGCGCTTAGTAACTCTTATCCACGCCTGCACCGCAGGGAAACTGATGAAGCTGGTCACCACAGGGAAACTGATGAACAAAAGATAATGCAGGGGAACATTTTCACTCCAGACTCAACATGAACGATAAAGACGTGCGCACACAGACACACACTGATGCAAACTCCCCCTGCCTCCTACTGCTGCGTCTCTCGTTCTCTCCACTCCCCCAGTGCCACTGCCCCAACCCCAGTATGGACCGCACCGAATTCTGCACAGCCCACACAGAGCCCCAGGCATGTGGACGTCAATAGTCTAATCTGGGGCGGACTGGGGTGGACCTACAAAGCTCCGCCCCAGGGAAGCCTCTTCGTGGGCGGGGTTCCGCAGAGCCTGCAGCTGGCGGGCGTACGTACCTGCGCAGTCCGCTCTGGAGCACGCCCGCGTCTCCGTGTGGGGCCCCTTGCACTCCGCCCAGCCGTGGACGGAGACGCTGCACCTCCGCGTGCGCTGCTGCGTGCCCCTGGAGCACGTGACAGAGCAGTGGCCCCAGGGCCCCCACTCCAGCCACTGCCCCTCCACTGCCAACACACAAGAACACACACGGAGCACACGCCCGCTGTTAGTGCCCGCCCGGGCTGTGCTAACGCAGCGCCGCTGTGGCCCCAGCCCTGATGCAGCAGGACCCAGGGGCCCCTCTGCTCTCTCTTTCACCCCCTGCCTTGAAAGAGCAGAAGAATCGAGTCTCACCCTGAGGAAGACAAGCCTGCCCTCTTCTTGCAGGAGAACATCTGAAATAATTTTTCGGGGAATACTTTTTGGGGGAATTTATGGGCTTAATGGACACCCTGGTATTTCCACATAAGTTATGGATATAAAGCAAACCCAGGGTGAGCTTTAACCCATGACCCCCTCACAGACAGCTGCTGCGTGTGAGCACGTGGTGCTCTGGGGCCCCAGGAGTCACACATGGCAGCAGCAGACAGAAAGGCGCAGTGTCCAGGAATAATGGACGCTGGAAAGGTTACAGCGCAGCCCCTGACAGTTTCACTGAGCTAAGAGAGCAAGGCTACGGCAACATTTAGTAAATCAGTCTGCCAATAGCTTGAATTTATTTCCCTTTCTGGACGAGCTATGATGCTGTGGGCTTGCTGTGAGTAAGGAGATGCGGTTCCCTAAGTCAGGGCTTTAGTGCTCGGACATGCTTCTCTGGGGAGCTAATCAGGCATGCCTTGTGAACGAGGCTGTACATAGAGTTCTGCCAAGCTCCAGTAACAAGAAAACTGAAATGAATAAAGAGCAGGAAAATGACTGACAATCACTGGTGGTGCTGCTGCTCTGTGGATACCTGCGCTAAGCTCACAGCTAGCTGGTTGAACGTCAAACCATTCTGAAGGATGCAGAGCTGCACTGGTCTGCTTGTGATCATTTAGATTGGTCGAATACCACAGCCGTCCTTTCTATCTCTCCTACACCCTCACCTCAGAGGCACCTACACCTCAGAGTCTCTTTAAACCCCCAGCTAAAACCACGGCCTTTTTTTCGATGGAGACCAGAGACAGATGTCTTCTCATGTTTTAGTTCATTAGTGATGTTACGTTTAGGCTGAAAATTGTCTATAGGCAACAATTCAAAGCAATTACAGAAAGATAACGTGGCTTTGAAATCTGAGAGGGGAACAAAAAACATCAACCACATCCACCCTAAAGACAACAAACCTTTCGAAATGGCAAAGGAAAAAAGTAAAAATTCTGAACTGAACATACTGAACATACTGTAACGCAATGATTAATTAAGCAACATACAGTAGACCACTCGTGTGATGGGACATCTAACAGATTTCTTTGAGGAGTGGATTGATGCAAGTTATCCTGCTGGAAGATAAATTACAGTGAGAGACACAACAGAATTGCTTAAATAAAAGATACCACATTGGTTTGAATTCCATAGTAATTGTGTGACAGACACCGGTATGTGTGTGTGTGACAGACACCGGGGTGTGTGTGTGTGACAGACAC